TATCTTTTTCCATCTTTTCACTTTCAGTTTGTGAGTGTCTTTAGGTCTGAAGTGTCTCTCTTATATGCACCATATATATTGGTCTTGTTTTTTTTATCCAATTGTTCACCCTATGCCTTTTGATTGGAGCATTTAGTCAATTGACATTTAAAGTAGCTATTGATAAATATGTATTTATTGCCCTTTGCAATTTTTTTCTAGGTGTTTTAGTAGTTCTACTCTGTTCCTTTCTTCTCTTGGTCTCTTTCTTTGTGGTTTGATACTTTCTTTAGTAATATGTTTGATTTCTTTCCTCTTAGTTATTCATTTATTTATTATAGGTTTCTGGTTTGTGATTACCATCAGGTTCCTATATAATATTCTACATATATAGCAATCTGTATTGAGTTGATAGTCTCTTTAGTTAGACCACTTTCTAAAAACTCTACTCTTTTACTCCCTTCCTCACACTTTTTGTGTTTTTGAAATCATATTTACTCCCTTATTTTGTGTGTGTCTATCCACTACCCTTTTGTCATTGAAATAGATAATTTTAGCACTTTTGTCTTTTAACCTTCATATTATCTTCAGAGGTGGTTGATCAGCTACCTTTACTGAATTTTTGCCTTTATCAGTGGTTTTATTGCCTGCAGTTTTTTTTTTCATATTTTTCGTATTCCTACTTGTCGTCTTCTCCTTCCCACTTAAATAAGTCGTTTCATTATTTCTCATAGAACTGGTTTCTTGGTGATAAACTTCTTTAATTTTTGCCTATCTGGGAAATTATTTATCTCTCCTTCCATTCTGAATGACAACCTTGCTGGATAGAGTATTCTTGGCTGTAGCTTTTTTCCTTTCAGCACTTTAAATAAGTTGTGACACTCTCTTCTAGCCTGTAGGGTCTCAGCTGAAAAGTCCACCAGTAGCCTTATGGGCTTTCCTTTGTATGTCACTTGCTGCCTTTCTCTTGCTGCTTTTAGGATTCTCTCTTTATATTTAATTTTGGACATTTTAATTACAATGTGTCTTAGTGTGGGCCTCTTTGGCTTTATCTTGTTTGGTGCTCTCTGTTCTTCCTGTTTTTGGATGTCTGTTTCCTTTCTTAGGTTAAGGAAGTTTTCAGCTATTATCTCTTCAAATAGATTCTCTGCCCCTTTGTCTCTCTCTTCTCCTTCTTGGACACCTATAATATGAATGTTAATACACTTGATGTTGTCCCAGAGTTCCCTTAGACTGTTCTCATTCTGTCTATTTCTTTTTTCTTTCACCTATTCAGCTTGTGTGATTTCACGTAGTCTTTCATCCAGCTCACTGATCCATGTTTCTGTACCCTCTACTTTTCTATTGAGTCCCTCTAGTGAATTTTCATTTCCAGTATTGTACTCTTCATTTCTGATTGATTTTTTTTATATTTTCTAATTCTTGTTTGATGTTCTTACTGTGTTCATCCAGTCTTCTCCCAATATCAGTGAGCATACTTATGAGTTTTTGTTTGAACTCTTTGTCCATTAGATTGCTTATTTCTGTTTCATTTAGTTCTTTTTCTGGGGTTTTGCCCTGTTCCCTTGCTTGCAATATATTCCTTTACCTCCCCATTATGCCTTTTTATTTGTGCTTATATCTGTGTATTAGGTGAGTCAGCTAATAAATAGTCATTAATACATAGTCAGCTAATACATATGTCTCCTGTTCCTGGAGAAGTGGCCTTATGTAAGAATGCCTTTTGACGCCATGCAGTGTGCTTCACTCTCAGCACCAGTCCAAATGTTCCAGGAGTGACCCCTGTGTGGGCTACTTGTGTCCTTCTGCTGTGGCAAGGTTGCTCCTATTGCAAGTACTCTGGGAGTTCAGGATCTCCCTGTCTGCCTGGCTGTTTGTAAATCAGGTTTGGGGAGTCCCAGCACTGTTAGCTACAAGGTCTAATAGCACACTCCTGTTGCAGTTTTCCTGTTAAATGAGTAGGCACCAGGTGTAGCTTGTTGCTAGGCTTGGGGGCTTACACTTGCTGTAGGCCTTGGGTCTGCAAGCCTATTGTCAGCTCTCTTAGGATTGCAACTGAGTGGGCCTGGCCCCAGGCATGAGAGCACTCAATTTTTTTCAGGCTTTGGAAGGTGGGGCCAATCCACTTTGTGGCTGTTTGTGAAGCACAGGTATTCTGCCACTGATAAGCCCCACCCTCCACAGGTCCACACACACTGTCAACACAGTCCTGGCCCATGCACACTTCCTGACCCCCTGGAGTGTACTCAGTCACCCCACTGCAGAGGCCATCACCTCTCCACCAATGCCCCCTACAGTTCACCTGGTCCTCACACAGGTCCTGCCACACAGAGGTGGACACACTCACCTGCTTGTAGAGGATCCAAGCACCCAGTCCATGCAGGCTGAAAAGTTGCCTGAAGGCTTGCTGTTGGGTGGGGCAGATCCCTAGGGTGGGCTACCTGCTCTGGCTGAACTGGATTAAATCTGTGCTATAGTGGGACTGGCAGACCCCTGGGCTAACAAGCCAGGGGAAGAAATCCAATGGCGTCTGCCAGCGTCTGTGTCAGCATGCCTGTACTGGGTCACAACAATGTGCACCACCAATGTCTCAGTCCCTGGAGAGGTCTCCCCTCTCACTGAGATGCATCCAGAGCCTACCAGGTGAGTCTCTTTTCACCAAAGGACTGTGCAGCTTTCTTTCTGGTGATTTTAGGTTTCTCTCTGAATTGGGTAAATTTGTGCATGGGCCCTTTAACAGCTGGCTTTATTCCACTTATGTGGATAGCTTTTCTGGGGGTATTTCCCATTGTAGTTAGTAGCCAACGAAGCCAGATAGTATGACACTCATCTCAGTTATGGTGAGTCTGAAGGATGCTTAGACTGGTAACGTGCCCCTACTCAGGTCCCCACTCCTGAAGGGAAGGCTGTATACCTTAGGGTGGCTCCCACCCAGCTGGCTGTGAAGCTCCACAGCTCTTGAAGGTGGCTTTTTTCTCTCCAGAAGGAATTTCTGCCTCTTCCACCTCAGTCAGGACTATCCTTTGTTGTGCAGATTCTTTTTATCTGGTGTTCAGTTTTCTCTCCAGGGTAATTTTTCCAAAAATAGTGGTAACCTGGTTGTGTTCATCAGAGGAAGTGAGTTCAGAGTCCACCTATGCTGCCATCTTGATGAGATCTCCCTGCTTCCTGGTTTATCAAGAGCATCTTGTCATGTGGCTCACATGGCAGAAGGATGAAAGGAGCTCTCTGGTACTTCTTTTATATAAGGGAACCAATCCCCTTCATGAGGGCTTCTGCCTCATGAGCCAATCACCTCCCAAAGGCCCCACCTCCAAACACCATCACATGGGGGGTTAGTTTTCAACATATGAACTTAGGGAGGACACAAACATTCAGTCTATAGTGCTGGTCAAACTATCAATCAAGTGTGAGGATAGATGGAAGACATTTTCAAACATATGGCTGAAATTTATCTACCGTGAACTTGCTCTGACTAATCAACTGGAACCTGTGCTCTACTGAAACAAGAGATTAGACTAAGAAAGAAGGCAATAAAGGATCTGGAAAACACAGGATCAAACACCAGAGAGGTGAAAGGAATCCCTAAGATGATTGTGAAGGCTGATCCCCAGATGACTGCTATGAACAGTAACAAGAAATGGAACAATACAGCCTGGAGGGGTTCGAGCAGCCTGAGAAAGACAGGCTACCTGAAGCATTTAACCCAATGAGGAGGAAATTTACATCCATGGGCTAACATTCGGGAACAATTTATTGTTTTGTAAGTAGAAAACTAAGGGAAAAAATATATGAGACAATTGCAAAAATCATCATAGGGAGTAGTGGTTAAGAGAATAAGCTGCTGAAACAGACTCTTTGGGTTCAAATCTGCCACATGTACCTTTGTGTTCTCAAATAGAAAACAGAGATAACAATAATAGAACTTACCTAACAATGTTGTGTTGAGGAATATATGGATAGTCTAAGGAAATCCCTCAGAACAGTGTCTATCACAACATAGCAGCTCACTACATGTTAGTAATTGACAGTCTACTCCATGGCTCAGCTATGTGAAGCTCTTACAGAGTCACAGTAATACAAAACTGAATATTCAGTAAACTGAAAATCCAATAACACTGAGGCAGATGGAAGGATGGCATGACTACACATTTATGGAGAGTGGAGAGGGGGTGTGTGGAGGGGAAGACACTCTCAATATCCATTATTTGATAATTCCTAAAACTGAATAGAAACATACTATTTAGAAGTACAAATGAGAATACCAGAAGAATTAGCATAAAGAATTAAAAGTAGTTGCCTATGAGTGGAAATATGACACCATCATTTTTCACAACCTTGTAGAACCATTTGCCTTTCTAAACTCTGTGCGTGATTAGCAAATTTAAAAAATTAAAACTAGACTTAAACCAAAAAAGTTATCTGTATGTAATGCCAGAAAGAAAGTAATCTACAAAGCAGTGTATTTCTGTAAGAATGGAGGCAGCCTTGCTGTCTCTGGAGACTAACATACATTGAATAATCACATAATTTTCCAGGGATGGCAATTAAGGTCTTTCAATGGATGTTCCTTGTGCAAGTCATTTTGTAAAACATTTGACCCTCACTGTCAGCTTTCTTCCACATTTGGCAGGACTTCCCCTGGCTCTCTGTGTCACTGTAACAGGTGAACAACTAAGAAAAAGCACTCCTTCTGCCTGTGGACACTTGTTTATAATGGCATTCAGGGTCCTGGAGCTAGGCTGACAGATGCTCCTCCAGAAGGTTAACGAGATAAAGCTTCCTCCAGCTGGCCCTTAAGCAGAGATTACACCAGAGGGGAAGGTAAGCAGATTATTCCAGAAACAGACATTGCTTCATGTTCTTCGTAAATTAGCACCCTCATAAAGGCAAACCAAGAAGGTCATTCTCACTCAGCTGGCATCAATATTGAATTATTTTTTATATTTCTGTCTTTTTTTTAATGAGGTCTGGGGCTATTCCGTGATTCTTCCCAGAAGTATCAAGGCACAAAAGCCAGAATGGTTTTGGAAACTAGAAGAGCTATTTTTGTTTTTTGGATTTTTCTCCAAGTTCAAGGGACCAAAGGTAAGTCAAGCATTTATTCCTAAATTTGCTTATCTATGAAATCTATTTACAGAAGCAAACATTCAAAATCGACAAGGTCACAACTGTATGTCAGAGGGCTAGTGTATGGTAGGCCCAGAATAAATATTGAGTGATTGGCTGAATGATTATCAGAAATAGTTTTCACTTGATTGAATATTTCCTACAAAATCTTAAGTGCAATTTATGTTAACAAAATAGGAGACATTAATGCATCCTATTTGCTTTTATAAAACATTGAATATAAATTTCTACCATTAATATCAACAACATTACTAGGCCCTTGAAACCAATTCTATTTACCCTTTAAAACTGACAAATAAAATCTAAAAAGTGAAATTAATATTTTGTCATTTATTATCAGAAAAAATAAGTATTTCTTACCTCTCATAGTTAAATAATGAGCTGCTTTTCCTTAGAAAATAGCAAGTGTGCTTCATCTTCAGAGTTCACGATGACAGCCAGCTCAGAAAATTAGCTGTTTTTGAAGTTGTATGCAGAAAAAAACTAGGCACTGCATGTTCTTATGGCAAATCTTCAAATGAATATAAAATTAAAGCAAGCCACAAAGCAGGCATATTTAAGAAGAATAAGGTATTTTTTTAAACCTGATGAAGAAAGCTTCAGTTTTTTTAAGCATAAGCCTGAGCATTATAACATGCTCAGTCTTTTTAAGATATTTGAGACCAATAACGTTCAGTTCTTTAAGGATGACATATCTTCAGAAAATTAACATTTTAATTGAAGCTTTGGTTTGAAAATGTCCATAGAAAAGTGAAACAAATAGTTGGTTCCATTTGTAAGTCACTGAATAACTGATTCCACTCGTCATTTTATATTTAACTTTTTGGTAATTGCGTTTGGAAGGAGCAAAACATTTCTGGAAAAGATTGTATAAAAATTCCCTTTATGTTTTGCTAACCATATATGATAGTGGATGAATCAAAAGTTTACTTACTTTTCCTGTAAATCACATATAAATGTTCACATTTGTAACAACATTTTAATTAGAAACAAATGATGGGGCTCCAGGGCATTCTGAGCTTCATCTGCTGAAGCAAACCAATTTCTCTGCTTCACAAACTTGACCAGGCAAATCAGCTTTTTTTGTTGTTTAATTAATTATGTTAACTAATTTAATTATTTGTTTCTATTTTCATATATTTTATATATCTGCCATTACAGGCAATTACAAATAACATAACTTTATATAGAAAATTAAATGAAATAAGCTTTACTAAAAACCTACAATTTATTATATGCTTATATCTATGAAACAAAGTATTATAACTGCATAATGAAAAATCCAAACATGTTACTTGTTTGGGGTGTTTTATTCAGATCTGTGAATTTCTGTGAATCTTCAATTAGTGAGGTCTATATTAATTAAAGTTTATATACTTCAGCCATATTGTTTTCCCATTTGTGACTAATTAACCATCATGAGTGTATTTACATAGAAAATGGTTTGGAGAGAAAGAAGAGTTCAATTCACTACAACTAGCTGTTAAGCATAATAACTGAGTGTTTAAATTCAAGAATTTCTTTTTTAAAAATTATAGATTATTTGAATAATCAAAAAGATATGAAAAAATTACCTATAGTACTTCTATGCAAACATAACCCACGCTAGCGACTTCACGTGTTTCCTCAGTCTTTCTATGTTCACTTATTTAATTTTCACATTATTGCAGTTCTACTGCACACACACACTATTTTATACCAGGCTTTTGCCCTTCTGTTATATCACATGAATATTCTACATTGCCATCTAGTTTTGACAAGCATCATTTTATTGGCTGCATAATGTTCCTTTCAGTTGATATATCATGATTTGCTTTACCTAAATACTCAACAAAAGAGAAATAATTGTTTTTAATTATTCTGTTATTATGAATAACATGACAATGAACATCTTTGTGCATAAGCCTCTCACAGTTCGTATTTAAGATTCTTAGCATAAATTCACTAAAGTAAAATTATTGAGTCAAAGCAATATAAACAGTTTTATGGTATTTGGTTCAGATTGCCAAACTGCTTCTCAAAAGGTTTCCTATGCCATTAGTCAATTTTTCACAATTTGATCCCACAAACAGAGTGCTTACCACGTACCCAGTATGGTGCAAGACAGAATATTGAGAGATTCAAAGACATGCCAATATTTCAAAAGATTTCCTTTAAGCTTTGCAGATTCTGAATGTAGTTTTTCCATTGATACATAAAATTAAAATGGTTTTGATTTCAAAATGTTCATTAAGTAAAATCGTTTAGTGCAACAAAATACAGTTCGATAGTTTCGGCTCCATTAACAAACAGAACATGGCTTCATTTGTACACCTGAGATAGCTGCCCCATGGCCGTCACAGTAACTTGGCAGCTCCCACACTTTGTTCGTCTCTGCTACAGTCTCAGGGCAGTGTAACTCAAAAGGTTCAAGGCAAATTTTCTTGTTCAATTATTTCTGGGAAGATGTCCTTAAAATTGAAGCTTTGTGTCCAACTGAACAATCTGTGGCGGCACACCTGAACCCACTTGTTAGTGGCTTTAAAATATATTGATATACTGGCTTTAAAATAAACAGCAGATGCTGCCTGTGACCCTCTCTGCTTGTTTCACTGATCACCCTAAAGAACGATTATATGCATGAGCTAATTAGGCAGCTTTAACATAACCAACTGCTTTCTTGACCGTTTCTGTCAATCATGAGGGTGCAGCCACCTTAAACCTCAACCATATTTGAACGCTAACCTTCTCCGGTATACCTGTATACCTTAGGTGCCACAATCGTGTTCCAGATTTTATGCTGTTTTAAAATGATTCATCTGAGGCAGCAAAGCTTGTTTTTCACCACAGCCTTTAGGTTTATGTTATAATTCAGTAAGTATGTGGTAATGACCGTATGAAAGTCCTAACCGCATCCCTATATTGTGATAGATCAGACTCTGGGATGACTGAGGTCTCCATCCACACCACCTCTTCCTGCTTCCCTTCTGCAGTTGTGGGGAGGGAACTGGTTGTGCCAACATTGGAATACCATAAAGCAGCTTGTATAAAGGAAGGAAAGACTCTGAACACAATGTGAGTTTGATCTTCCAAAGAGGACAGTTTTAGCAACCGTTGGGTCTGAGCTCACTATCTGAGAGTCAGAGACGGTGTCACTGGGATTTCAGCCTCATAAATCGAGAGCAACAAGTCAGATGGAACCATTTTAACAAGGGAGGGGAGTGCACTTTTTGCTCTGGGTCCAAGGCAACCTGCATGCCAAAGCTGGTCCTACGAGATGAAATGGTTGACTTGGCACAGCCATGGTAATGAGAACCCAGATATGGAAATGCCACTGTCAAGGCTGAGCTACAGCAGGCATCACTCTATTTATTGAGAATGTACTCTACTGCTGCGCCACTCTTCTGGCCACAGTGAATGTTTGAAGAATATGAAAGAGCTACAGAGCAGTGATAAATGCTTCTAAGCATATGGTTATATTCAGTAGATTAATATTTTTCCATTTACATTCTCATTCTTGAGGAAATCTCTTTCTGCATGCCTTTATAAAATCAATTTAATTCATTACAGTTTTGTTTGCTTCATTCGGCCATCTTTAGGCCCCTCACCCATCACAGCTCTCTTCTATTTTCATAATTGCTTCCCCAGGAGAAGGATTAAAGGAAACTAAACCAAAAGGAATTTTGTGGAGAAAAGTCAGAACCTCAAAATTAATGAAAAGTCTCCACTTCGGAAGTACTTTAACTTCACACAGAAAGTAACATATGTAGGGCTAATTTGTCTGTCTTACGGTTCCTGCTGCATTTATGAACAAACAGAAGTTACATTTAATTAAACCCAACTATGAAACCCAAGGGCACTATTACTAACCTGGTGTAGTCAGTTCAGACCTGATCAAAACACTTTGTAGATGGCAATCATATTAACAATCCTTTAGGTTAATATCATATTTTACTTATAAAAGCTCAAGCAAATTTTAATTAATCTTACTGCTTAATATTTTGCTGGTTGGTAGGCAATGTGCTCATTTCTGGTCAGGAACCTAAGGCAGAGAATGCTAAGTAATGTTCCTAAAATCCTTTGAGATGGGAAGGTTAGAACCAAAACTGGGATTTGAGCTGTATCCGGTCCTATCTTACATCTACTTAGTGTATTAATCAGTCCAGTATAATATTATGAGTATAATTAATATGTGTTTTACTATTAATTCAAAAGCCAACTTCCTCAGCTAACAACAACAGATGATTGCTGCTTCTGGGCCATTTCCGACATCTCTTTGCATGACTGATCTCAGGATAGCTGGCCATGGCCTTCAGCTCTATCCTAAAAATGGAAGCACCAATTTTAGGAGTTCTATTACTCCTTAAGAAAGAAGTGTGGGGGCCTGCCCAGTGGCATAGCCATTGGGTTCACGCACTCCACTTCGGCAGCCTGGGGTTTCCAGTTCAGATCCCGGGTGTGGACCTATGCACCACTTATCAAGCCATGCTGCGGCAGGCATCCTACATATAAAATAGAGGAAGATGGGCACGGATGGTAGCACAGGGCCAATCTTCCTCAGCAAAAAGAGGGGGATTGGCGATGGATGTTAGCTCAGGTCTAATATTTGTCAAAAAAAAAAAAAGAAGAAGAAGAAAGAAGTGTTGACATTTTGAAGTCCTCAAAGAATTGGAGTTATTTATTTATGGTGTCATTTTAAATGCCCACCATTAAAGTCTAAGTTTAGTGGCAAGTGGCTTGTTTCAGATTGTGTTATGTATCTAAAGGCAGTACCTGGCCTAATGGATGTGCTTTGACACAGTGGGAACCAAAAGTTTTGATACCTCACTATCAAAACACCGAAATTTCACCCCCAAGTTTGCAATATTTTCAGGCTGTAGAGATATACAATTCTGAAACACCCCTTTCTAATAATTTCTCTTCCTTCCTTCTATCGAATGTGATTTTTACTTTCATCAAAACACATCAGTCCCACTGCC